ACAGTCTTAACAGCCTTTTCAAGCCCTGCACGAGGCGGCTCGGCTTAATCTAAGCTTCCCTCAAGGGTGCAGAGCTGGTTTTGCGGTGTCCATGTCACCTGCCAAGGGTTCCTAGTAAGTTGTGCAATTTTTTGAGCAAATAAAACACAAACTGGCCTTGCACATTTGTGGTGCCACTATGATGAATGTGTTTGATGCGTTGCCTTGTTCAGTCATTCTTGGGGTTTACCAGTACAGGGACTAGTCCAGACCTCTTCATAGATAACCTAGAGAGGCTGCATTTTGGTCAAAGAGCCCCTTTCCACAGCATCAGAAGGAAGGTAAGTTGGGCTGCCCTATTCACAGGGGAAATGATCTGCATAATGTGAGCATCACGGAGATCAAAAGTCTAACTGCCTCAGTGGAGACAGCGCTTGGCATCCTGCGTGTCCACCCTGTCCATGCAGAACTGTTGCCTGATCTTGTCCAAAGCAAGGCTGGCTAAAGTGTCTGTCCTGCACAGTGACTGGCCCACCAAGTGATGCTTTGGGGTAGTCCGTAAAGACCAAGCAGCACACACAACCCATAACTGGGAGGGACTGCAGACACTTGAATCCAGCCCCTGCTCAGAGTCAGCCACACACTGAACGACAGAATCGGTGCCGAATGCCACGTCTACCAAGGTGTCACAGGGGAGTCTCGGCTGCGCAAGGAAGCGCGTGTGGCAGGGCTCACCTCCCACCAGCTCGCCCTCGGCCACACGTGTTGTCAGGCACATTTTAAGGCCCATCAGTTAATGCACTGATAGGCCAAGAGAAGGGCGAGCAAGCTCTGTCAGTGTGGGTGACCGGCTCAGAGGCCCAGTTGGCACAATTGGGGTGCAATGGCTAAATCGTGAAGCCCCCTCCCCCCACCCCTTTGCCAGTGGTTCACCTGGCATCAGCCCATGGGTTCTGGATGGCTTGTTGCCCCAGCAACAAGCTACCCAGGCTGGACTTGCACAGCCCTGCAAGATGGTCTGCAAAAGCTAATTCATGCCAATCTCCTAGGAGGCAATCCCGGCTCAAGGCAAGGGAAAGGAAGTACTCCAGTTTATTTCCCTTAGCTGTTACCGTACAAACCAGGTCTTCATTGCACTGGAAAGGCACATGCGGGTGTGATGCAGCATTTCAACTGATACCGTCACCTTGTGACAAGATCATCAGAAAGTTTCCCCTGGCGTTGATCAAACCTATTGAGAACTCTGGATTTCTTGAAGCCAGGTAGCTGCACTGCTTCCTGCAGATGTCCCCTCTGTCCTTTTGTACCAGGTCTACAAGTTTTCCTGGCCATCTTGCTGCTGCTGGCGCTCCTGTAGGGAACGCCCAGAATTTGATAAAGGTTTGTGTTGCTGCAACAGGGCAAGGCAGGGATTCTAATTTGAGTTGGCCTCACAACCAGATACTGAAGTTATTCTGGGCAAATGAGTACGGCGCACAAACACGTGAGCTTCGTGTGGCTCTGGGACTGACCTCCAGATATGGCAGGGATCCCAGCCTTCCTATCATTACGAGTGCCATTTGTTCTTCCTCCAGCTTGTTCCTTCTCGTCTCTACCATTCCAGGCACAGCTGCCTGCCCTTCTAAGCCGCACTGTCTCTTCTTAACAGCAAGGGAGCGGCTACTCTCTGCATTCTTGGGTAGCGCAGGCTGAGATTCCCAGTTCCACAGGCTGAAGAATGCAGGATGGATCTGGCCAATGTCCATCCAAGCCAGCAGCTGGCACACAAATAGCATCCTGCAAGCTCTTCAGAGACATACTGTCCCGACAAGGGACAGCACAATAGTGTCCACACATCACATCAAGCCGCCCCGAGAATGAGCTACACGGAACAGGTTGCTTGCGGACCAGTGTGTGGCACATGGAACTCACAACCTGACTCACCGTTGCTTGCTCTTCTAGCCACGATTCATTGTCCACGCTCCCATCCATCCTCATGGCAATCCGTTCAATTGCTCCCATTTTCGGTTCTTTGAAGCCTGAACGGTGTGGGCAGTGAAAAATGCCCAATTTAATAGCAGTAAATGGAGGTTCAATTTGTATCAATTTAAGGGCAAGGAAGTAAAGGAGGGCTAAATTAATACAGCTACAGTAACAGCTCTATTTCCCCTCTATTAACTTCCTTGCTATTAAATTTGCAGATGGCCAGTTTGAATATTCAAGCGGCAACTACAACTTCTCATTCGGTCTAACCCAATAGAAGTGCGTTGTTGCTTGGTGAAGCTTCCTCAGCCTTCTGGTCGTGGGTTTAACTATTCAAAAGCCGCCTGGCAAGTGTCACAGCCCTGTGGCTTCAATGAGGCACTGTGGGCTGTGGGGACAGCGCGAACCTGGTCTCTGACTAGGCGTGCATGATGCGACAACCCATTGCAGTGATTAACCCAACAGGATTGTTGGGTCCTCGAAGCCCAACCAGTGACTAGGCTCACTTAACCCAGGATGGGTTGCGGAACACACACCGGTGCCAGCTTGTGAATATTTAAGGAACAACTGCAGCTTGTTATGTCATCTGAAGCCAAGATGAATGGATTGCTTTCCTGGCTAACAAGCCACTCAGAAACTACGCACTGTTGTGATGGTTTGGATGTTTCGCTCTCTGCCCTCAGGAGCCCACACTTGCTGGGTTTGGACACAGAACAGGCTGCCAGGGTCAGGGCCTGAGAGACCCTGCGAGTCCCTGCAGAACCAGGAGCAGCTTTGCAGATTCTTGCAGGGAGCTGCCAAAGAGCCATCACACAGTGCAGCTGGAGGTCCTGAAGGCCAGCGTAAAAGGCTTTCTGGCACTGCTGTTCTTTACCCGTCTTCAGGACTCTCTCGTGCTGTGGCCTCTGCATCACCATGGTCTGAACCTCATTCCTACCTTGCTCCAGCCTGCTCCTGCTTGCTCCAGCCTTATTCCAGCCTGCTCTTGCTTGCTCCAGTTGCTCCTGCCCTGCCCCAGCCCCCTCTTGCCTGGACCACCCTCACATGACCGTTTCCCTGGCATCAGACCCCTGGACCGTTTCTAGACCGTGCTCCCTCTCTCACCTGTATAATATTGGACTGCCTGCTGCCTCGGCCCTGACCCTGGACTGCTGACCACGCCACCCGCCTCCAGCCCTACTAAGCTGCGGGACCTGGTCCCGGCATTCTGCCTGTCCCAGCGGCCGCCCACATCCCGGCCCTTACACAGGCCATGCTTGTGGCTTGGATATTCAAAGATCGGTGCCTAGTAGCACCACGGCACATGGCGGTGAAGCCACCGTGAATGCCTGGCTTGTGCAGGCAGGCTCATTAGACACTACCCCAGTGACGATGGGGGCAATTATTTCTCTGGGTTACCAGTTCTTGACCTCTTGGTATCGCGGGGAACATGAAGAGGAGAGTCCTGTGGCACTCAGGAGCCACTTGCAGACCGCCCGTGGGCACCTGGTTGGTCACGAGCGAGCCACATGCTGGACTAGAGGGCCCTTCAGGGGGGTTCAGCAAGGCTCCTCTTAGATTCTTAAGACGGCTCTTTTTAGCAAACAGCTGCTGGTATTTTAGGCAACTGCCACCTTCCCTTCTTAAACTGCAGTTGCCAACAAAAAGAGGACTTTGGTCATGCAGGAATAAATGACTTTAATGAAATTACCTTTAGATCCCCACATTTGAACCCATAGCAGTAAAAATGGTGGAACTTCTTCCCATTATGTTGTTAGTCGTGAAGTCGTGTCCGACCCATCGCGACCCCATGGACAACATTCCTCCAGGCCTTCCTGTCCTCCACCATCCCCCGGAGTCCACTCAAGCTCACGGCAACTGCTTCAGTGACTCCATCCAGCCACCTCATCCTCTGCTGCCCCCTTCTTCTTTTGCCATCTATTGTTCCCAGCATTAGGCTCGTCTCCAGGGAGTCCTTCCTTCTCATTAGGTGGCCGAAGTATTTGAGTTCCATCTTCAGGATCTGGCCTTCTAAAGAGCAGTCAGGGCTGATCTCCTCTAGGACTGACCGGTTTGACTGCCTTGCTGTCCAAGGGACTCGCAGTTGTCTCCTCCAGCACCACAATTCAAAGGCCTCACGTCTTCGACGCTCAGCCTCCCTTATGGTCCAACTTTCACAGCCATGCATTGCAAATGGGAAAACCATAGCCTTGACTTTACACACTTTTGTCGGCAGGGTGATGTTTCTGCTTTTTAGTATGCTGTCTAGATTTGCCATAGCTTTCCTCCCCAGGAGCAAGCGTCTTCCCATTATACCAGTGGTTAAAATATGGAGTTTGCCATACTCGGTCCAAATAAATTTTCCAGTCTGAAATCTTTTAGAGCAAGGGAACATTGCCTGGGCCGTGGGAGGGAGCCAGAGGTAGCAGACATGAGATCAGCGCTGTTCGGAGGGCCCCTAATGGCAACTCAGGCACTTCCAAGTATGTCTTGATCAAGGTACAATCTTACACGTGTCTGTACAAAAGTCGGCCCTCGAGTCCAGTGGGGATTTACTCCCAGATAAGATTGTGGTCATGCTCCTGGGAGAAAGAAGGGAACAAACAGGATTTCCAATATAAAATGTTCCATTTTAGGGGACAGGAGGAGACCTCTCAAAAGACCTAGGATGGCATGAACTGGAGGAAATGTCTGACCATGGCATCAGACTCGCGAAGGCCAGCCTTCCAATTAGAACGCCCTGGCATTTTTTACTACTTTACATCAAAAATGATAGTGATGAGCCTGCGAAGGATCTTGCTGGCAACCCGGAGGAGTTGCTGAGTTTGATGGGAGGATGGCTGAGTTGCACTGAAGGCAGATTCATTCATTTGGCTGAGTGGACAAAATAGTTTGTGCAGTAGGAGCATTTCCTTGTCTGATCTCCTCCATTAAAAAAGGGGAAGGGGGAATGGCCACTGGACACCAAAACATCTAAAGAAGGGGGAACACAATTCTGTCTCTACCCGCCCCACAAACCCGCGCGCGTGCGCACAAACACTTTTGACAAGGCCTTTGAAACAAATGCAAGACTCACAAACTGAAGGACAAGTTTTGTCTTTTTATTGCTACCAGAAGGCTTTCCTCAGTCTGACTGTTGAATGCAATACCTTCCAAGGGGCTGTGAAGAGAGCTTTAAAATCAAGCAGAGAGTATTCTGAGAAGCCGAGCATTTAACACTGAACTGCAGGGTCTTTAAAGGTCTTTTTTGCCCCTGCTTCATGTTAACAAGTTACTTGAAAGTAAAAGTGGAGAGGAAGGAGAATCGGGGAGAAATCTGTGCTGACTGTTGACACGGAAACTTAGGATAGCAGAACTGCCCTGCGGCTTAGACACCACCAACACTTGTCCACGTGCGCTACATTTTTGTCTAATGTCTAATTACATTTTCCTTTTGTCAATGTCTAATTACATTTTCTTTTTGATGCACATGTTCATTAAAGCTTACGTGTGTGTGAAATCACATTAAACCAAGTGTTATGTTTTGGTTTCGTCAGTCTAACAGCAGCCATAGCAAATGCTTCCAATTTTCTATAAAATCAAAGCTTTTTTTTTTTTTTTTGCCTGCAGATTAAGTGTCCAAACCAAAACACAAACACTCCTAACATACTTTCAGGTGTCCAATTGCACTGCTCCAGTTTTTGATGTAGGACAGTCACACACATCCTTTATTTTTGTTTTGTTTTGAACTTGCTAATTTTAAATGCAGATCTAGCTTTAGAGAATCACATTAGGACACCAAAGTGCTAAATGACGGAAAACAAGAGGAAAGTGGGGGAGCTCTTGCATCCTTGGCAAAGAAAGGAAACGGAAGGAACAGTACAGGTGCATGAATACAGGAAATCATGCGCTCGATGCTCCGAAATCTAAAATAGGTGAAAAGACGCATTTCAAGAGAGTTCTCCAATTGAAGGAAATTCAGAATAAGAATCGATGTGGTTAGAAATCAGGAAAGGATTTTGCACGCTTGGTGCGAACTCTCCGACACGACGGGTGGGATTACAATACACAACAGTGGAACAGACAACACTAGAGAAACAATTTTTGCTACTTTTTTTGTTTGGTTTTTGGGTCTTTTTAAAAGGTTTTTTATACTTTTTTTTGGTTTTTAAGTACTTAAAATCATAGTTGAACTATAATTAGCCGCACAAGGAAAGAGGGGGTTCTTTTAAAAGGATAGCTGAGCTCCCTTCTGCTTAGCCCTGTAAGGTACAGCCTTCACTCTGCTGGCCCGAGAGGCTGGGGCGGGTGAGCGTGACGGCACCCTGTGGACGCGCCACTACATGACGGAAACGGGCTGCAACGGAGGGCAGGGAGAGACGCTTCCTCCGGGCCAGGCAACGTTGGTGCTGCAGGCGGACGAGGCCTTGCCATCCAGGGCCACCCCCTCCGGAGCGTTCTCCTCGTTGTACAGCCGCTTGATCCCGTCGTAGAAGTCATCCACCTCCATCTCCTCCACCTTGCGCTTGGCCGTGGCTTGCCGGCACCGGCTGGGGGCCAGCCGGCGCTGACAGAGCGCAGCAGAGCCGTGGGTTGGCACTTCCGGGGGGCTGCTGTCCGTGGACTCGGGGCCTAGGGCAGAAGAGCGGTGGAGCTGGAAGGCTCCTGCGTGGCAGGGCGCCAGGCTGTGCTTGAAGGGGCTGTAGATGTACACCGAGCTGGGCTGTGGCGGGGAGAGGTGCTGTGCCACGAGCTCCCGGCAGTGGATGAGCTGGGAGCTGTCCATCTGGATTCGGGGGAAGGAGCAGAAGGAACAAACAGAAGGGAATCACCGCAGGAAGAGCATCCCCTGCCAGCTCACGCCAAGGGGACGTGCCCTGCAGAGCTGCCCTGGCCACCATCCCAGGGTCACTGCTTGGCTCCGAAGGGCAGGAAGAAGTCCTGCCTGGATCCCTGGAGCGCCGCTGCCAACCAGTGTTGCCCATACTGGGCTAGCTGCACAGATGCAGTTTAAGGCATCTCATGCTCCCAACGCACCGACTGGCGGAGGACCAGCATTCCGTATGACCTCTCTCCACCAGTAACTCACCACAAATGTCAGTGCTTAGCACACACAATTATCTACATTACACTTTACTAATCCAAAATCTACAGGAGACTTGCCTCAGAGTTAGTCCCACTAATCTGCTCGTTTGTTTTAAATAGGACCTGTTCTGACCAGGGATCCAGAGGCTTTTAGGCCTCGGATTTATTCTTTTCCCGGGTGCTGGGATGCCTTCCCCCTCTGCACAGGCGCAGTTTTGCATTTCGAGCTTGCTCAAAGGGCAGCCCCATCATGGCTGTGGGCATAAAACAGAGCTTGCTCCTGACCCACCGACCACGGGCCGCCCTCTGGCGAGCCTGCTGGCCGCAGACTCTCCCGGCAGCCCCAGCCCCGCTCCCCAGCCGCACCGTCCACCCACGGCCCTGGGCCGCCCCTGGGCCTACCTGTGCCTTCTGGAGCAGCCCGATGATGAGGGAGAGCCAGTCGGGGATGAGCTTTTCCACCTCCAGGCTGAGGATGGCCAAGGCCAGCATGGAGCCCTTGAACTGCAGCAGCTGGTGGCAGGCCAGGCACCGCAGCAGCTGCTTGCCCAGCAGGGCCACGTGCTGGGACGGGCTCACCTTCCGCAGGGCGGCCAGCAGCTGCGGCCGGGTGGACGAGGCGACCGCGTGGAACTGGGCGGGAGGGAGCAGGAGAGAGCAGCAGAAGGGCGTCGTGAGAAGGGAGCCCTTCCAGCCACGGCTAAATGGGGGGACGGGGGGCCTGTCACTCTCCAGACGGACTGACTGGTCTACAATGCCCGGGGCCCCTCGCTATCGGCCCTGCGAGTGAGGAGGGAGCCAAAGCACTGTCTTGGGAGGCGCCGCCCATCTTTGCCAGAGATTCCCAAGACGCACACCGCTCGCAAAGGCACAGGGTTCCTTGCTCGGGAGTGTCAAGAGGGGGTCTTGTTCCAAAGGCACCTTCGAGCCACACAGGAGCTGCTGGCTTGTGGCGGGGTCACAGAGAACATCTCAGGGAGACTTTCCACCCGGGCTGACCTCCTCTTTTAAAGTTCTGTGCAGAGGAAGGCGGATTCTGCAACCTGTCTAAATGACGCCAGTTAAACAACTCCGCACACTTGGCTTTGTTTCGGGAAGGGACGCAGCACGGCGCAACGGCAAGTGGCTGCCCAATCTCCCGGCTTCGTGCATTCTCACTGGGCACAGTCTGCACATTTTCATATCTAGTTCTAAAGGACCAGAAACCTTCCTTGAAGGCAAAAAAATGGGCTGAGATTCTCAGGCTACTGGATTCTGGACTGAAGAATTTACTTTCAGGAAAGCACTGCTGTACGCTCATGGCAAGAGCTGTGCTAGATGCAACCATGTTCGGCCTGAATTAACTCAACCCCGAATGCTCAGGATGGATAGTAACACATTTGCTTATGGCATGAAGGGATCAGGTACTCTCTCAGCCAGTTTTGATGTTGAGCACACTGACACACAGAGTCCAACCCCCGAATTCCTCCCCTCACCGCTGAAGGCAAAAGCCCTTGCTCTCCCCCCACCCCGCTCCTTTGTGGCAAGGCTGTCATAGACTCAAAGCAATTACAATATGAAGGAAATCCAGTGGAGTGGCAGTGTGAAGATCCCAGTTCAATTTATCCAGAATTATCTTCTCCATTCTGCGGATTTCAGCTGGAGAGCAGCCGCAAAAGCTGTCCCTGGCTAACACCTTCAGTACTGGAATCCTCTGCAAAAGTTGAAGCAGAAAAGGCTATAGTGAGCAAAGCCGGCTTTTGCCGTGCATTTTAAAAGCGCGCTGGAGAAGGAGAAGCCCCATTCTGGACTAAAGTGACACCAGTAGTCTGTAGGGGCCAGTGCTGGCCTCCTTGGACTCTGGGTCAGGGGTAAAGCGAAACTCGGCATCAGAGGTGGACAAGGGATGGATTCGTGACTCTTCACAGCTTGGGCTCTCTTGCTAGCTGGGCCAAAAGCAGGTGTCGGCAGCAACAGGAAGACAAGCCAGCCCCAAATGAGCATCACCTGACGTTCTGGCACGGTCCAGGTCCTGCTCTATTTCCAGGGAGCTCAAAGGAAACAGCAAGGGGACAACTGCAGGCACCGCAAGGAGTCAAGCACCACGAGGAAGCCCAATGGCACGATCCTTTTACGGGACCCCTATGCATGCCTCGACGGGAAAAGGCCTGCACCGCCTGGCGTGTCCCAGCCAGCACAGCTGGAGTGGGACCGAGCATCTTTTTAAAAACTCGGCTTAGGAGCACCACGCCAGCTGCTCAGAATGGGGAAAAGCACCACGAAGGCGGGGACACCACTGAATGCTTTGTGGTCAGTGGCAAGGTGGTGGTGCTGAAGAAGAAGTGGCCAACGGGAACCCCGGGGAGCCACACTGGAACTCTGCGAGAGCCGAGTGTGGCTGCCGTGCCTGAGGAACCTCCCCCCGCCCCACGCTTGGGGCACAACACTTACCTCATCTTCCTCAATCGTCTTTGCAGCGAGGAAGAAGCAGCTGATGGCAATGCAGTTCAAGTACTTTGGACGGGCCTGCGAGGCGGAAAAGAGGAATTACGGGAGGAAGCGCAACCCAGGGACACCCTCGCGAAAGCAGCTGCCCAGCTCGGCCGCCTCCAGCTGGAAGACCTCCGGAAGTGTGGAGGTGCAACTCCGATCTCCATCTGCCTGCACGGCCAGTGGGTCAGCGGTGCTCTTCTCTTCCCAGCTGCTTACAGGAAGCCACAGCAGTGTCTGTGCAGTGTGCGTGTGTGTGAGACAGAGAGAGCGATTTGGAAGAGACGCCTGGAATCCACAGGAAAATCGCCAGGGCCAGAGTGGCTCATTCCAGGCAAGAAAGGTTAACTGAGGAAAACCAGCAGCTTGATGCAAAACCACTGGACTGAGGCTCCCCTGGCCTCTGGCACCTGGCAGAGACTGCGGCAAGTGCCCCGTGCTCAAATGGGACGGGGAGAGATGGGCGGTCCTGGGTGACATCCGGGGGCCTGGCCACTAACTCCCCCCAGCCGTGTCCTCACCCAACCTTCTCCAGCTGGGGCGGGGAAGCTGTGACCTCAACTCCCACAGGTCCTAGTCAACATGTTCAATGGTGAGGGCTGATGGGAGTTGTAGTCCAACATCCAGAAGGCCAACACATTCCCTTGACCTGTTCAAAAGCCAAGGGAGGAGGAGGAGGAAGAGGAGGAGGAAGAGTCACAAATGTGCACAGAATTGGGCATTTTTCAAACGGTTCCTGAAAACGCACCTGCTCACCCAGGTTTTCCCTGGCCCATAATTAAGTTATCCGCACTGTTCCACTTCACTGCTTCTGCACTGCTCTGTATTATATATAACAATGATTGCAACTGTATGATTTTTAACGCTGTATTTTAAAGGTGAGCCTAATCGTGATCTGAGTAGCTATATGGAACCTACTTAGGGATTTTTCCTAATATTTAGCAGCACAGATACAGTACAAAGAAGGGAAGAGGAGGCAAGGGAAGAACAAAAAGAGAAGAGAAAGAACGAAAGAGAAGCCGCTGCATTCGAAGGGCCTAGACGGGCAGCGGTTTTGCAGGGCTTCCATCTGTTAGCAGCCTTCCCTGGCCCCGTTCTTCAAGATCCTTTCACCAAAGAAGGTGGGGTCTCGACGTGGCCCCTCCTGCATGCAAAGGAAGAGCACCAGCGCCTTCTCTTGTGAGAGGAGGGGAAAGGAAGGCCACCCACACATTAAGCGCTGCAGGAATACAGGAAGGAGCTTCGGAGTGGAGGCTAAGCGGGAAAGAGCAGCCCACCCCAAAGGTGGATAGTGATGCTGCTGCCTTCCTACCCACACTGCTAAGATCCTTTGGAGAATAACTAGGGGGAAATGGCTGCACCAAGGTTCCGGAATCAGAGCCGGGAGGGGGGGGGGAGCCTGAAACAGAGCAGAAATTAATGCCTGCCAGATGGTACAACCCAGGACAGTGCAGTAGGGTTCATGGAAAAGAGGATCAAGACAGGTTTCAGGGTGAAGGAATTTCAAGAGCTTTGCATTTCTATTAAAAACCTTGTTTTTTGAAGAGGTTTATGGACTGGCTTTCTGTGCTGGCTGGCACAGGACGCAAGTTTGCTCTCATCTGTGGCATTTTTTGGAGACAATGCAGGGGTTTTTTTATTGGCTGGCTCTGGCGTTGGCTGGCTCTGGGATTACGGTTTTATAATGAAGAGATGGAAAATGTATTAAATAAATAAATGTGGGAGGGGATAAACGGAGGAGAGACATAATAGAGCTCGATTAATTTATGAATGGGTCTGAGGCAGGAAAGAGAGAATGCATCTCTTCTAGCAAGGTCTGCTTATAGAAAACGATGGTGCATCCACACTTAGAACACCCTGTACTGTTCTGGTGACCACACCTGGAACAGGGTATTTCCAACAGAGTTGGAAAAAGGGTGGAAGAGGGCAACTAAAATGACCGGGGGTGCGGGGGGCTGGAAAAGCTCTCGTTAGGAAAGGTTACAACCTCAGGGATCCGTTAGCTTAGGAAAAAACAAAAAACAAAAAACAAATCAGGAGAGACATAACAGAGGTGTACGACATTATGCATGGTGTAGAGAAAGCAGTCAAGGAAATGATCATTTTCTTTGGGAATGTGATACCTTGGGAAAACTTTTGGGAAGATGGCAGGAATTTTCTCAAAGAATGAAACTGAAAAAAAAAAACTGACCACTAGATGGAGCGTCCAGGTTCAGGTGCAGTATACCTGTATGCTAGACCCTGCAGGCCACAGGGTCAGGTCTGCACAGTGGTGGTGAAAGCAGGGGGTTAGGGCCTGCCTTGTGAAATGCTGGTGACCTGACCATCAGCAAGTAGGAGCTCTGGAGGTCTCCAGCACAAGGCCCCATCTCTGCAACCCTCCCCACAACTGTCACGAGGCTGGGCATTTGGTTAGTAGGTAGGTGATACTCCAACCTTCCCTTTGAGTAGCTCTTCATGCTTGTCTACAAGTTGCTTGCTTTCAGACGCTTAAAGTTGATCTGAGAGGTGCTGGGTTTGATCCAGACTGAAGCTCAAGGAACTGCACGGGGGGTGTGGCCATCCATTCCCCCTCCTTTTCACAGCAGACCCCTGAAAATGCCGCACAGAGAGTCGGGCTGTGCAAGTGTCTGCAGCAGAAAGGGGACCTGACCGTCAGCAAGCAGGAGCTGACTTCAGGTGTCCTCAGCAGAAAGGGAATCTCCAGAACCCAGGCAGAGGGTACATCCGCCCATGGATGGCAGATCCTAGTTCTCTGTCTGGTTTAGGAGTTGTTTCCTGCTCCTGGGCAAATGCTAAAGGTCCATTAAGGATATAATCCCATGCACACGTTTTCTCCAAGGTAAGTCCCACCATGTTTAATGCGCTTCCTCCCAGGAACGGAGGCAGAGCCAGCAGCCTCAGATGGCAGCCAGCAAGGTTTATTTACCCTGGCAGTGCAATGCACAAATTACACTTTCTTCAACGTTCAAGGAAGGTCAGCAGGGGACACTCAGCAAGAACATAACAGGCTGTTAAAGAAGCAGGCACTGTGTTTCCCTGGGCGGAACTCATTTCTTTGAAAGCAAATGCCATCCATGACTGAAGATGGAAACCAGGTACCCGAGTCACTGCAGCACCCTAACCAAGACGATCGCCTCCTTTTCTTGGTCATACAGGGCGAGGACGTTCCATTACACCCCACTGGACCAAAATGGAGTATCACCAGGCAAATAAAATTTACGTTTAGGGATAAAAACCAAAGCGGCATTAATAAAATCCTTGGATGTGCCTCACATTAATCTGGTCTTTCTCAAAGTGAGGTTTATGAGGCTGAGAGAATAGTACAGACGACGACGGGAGCCAAAAAGAACCTGGTCCTTCAAATAGTGATGAAGAGCATCAAGACGGACCTCTGGGCTCATCTCGTCCTGCCTGTAGGCTCTCCATACATCCACGTGAGGATGCACTGCCCAGATAATTGTTCCTTACATTTAAATGCCGCCTTTCCTCTGAATTTTATCCCCAAGAACCCTGTGAGGTGGGTTTGGCCGAGAGTCCATGACCAGCTAATGTCTCCCCACGAGTTTCGTAGCTAAGCAGTGGAAACTAGAACCCGAAACCACAACACATCTCCAACTCGCACTGCTCTCTGCTGCTGTTTCTCATTCATTTATAATTATTAATTTTATTTCTAATTTGCTGCTGGTGGTGACTGTTAGCTAGAAAAGACCTTTTTGGAGCTGTGAGCACAGCTGGTAGTTTGAGAACTATATAGAAACATAGAAGCAGAGCGAGTCAGAATGGGTCTCCTGGGCCATTTAGTCTGACCCCCCAGCTCCTCCCAGCTTTGCTCATGACATGCTTACCATGTGGATGCCCAGCCTATCCTTGAACACCCTCACCAATGGGCTTCAACCACCTCCCGTGGAAGCCCATTCCATACCCTAGGAATCCTAACTGTTAGGAAGTACCTCCTGGCATCCAAATTGTACCTCAGTTCCCTGAGTTTGGCTCCGCTGGAGCATGTCCTGCCCTCCTCTGCAGGGGAGAACAGGTCTCTACCCACCTCCGTGTGACACCCCCTCACATACCTGTATGTCGCCAATATATCCCCTCTGAGTCTCCTCTTTTCCAGGCTGAAGAGACCCAGTTCCCTCAGTCTCGCCTCATACGGCATCCCCTGCAAACCGGCCACCAACTTTGTGGCCCTACGCTGCACTGACTCTAACCTGGCTATATCCTTTCTGTAATGAGGGGCCCAAAACTGAGCACAATACTCCAGTTGCGGGCGCACCAGAGTCGTATAGAGTGCTAGTAATACCAGGTCCCACCATGAACTGCCCCCCTGAAGGATGTGGCTGGTCACAGAACAGTTGTGCTGGGGCCTGGCATGTCAAAGTGAACAAAGAGGATGATGGAGGGGAGGGCCATGGTGAGGCCAGAGTCTTGGAGGGGCCAGAAAACAGCAAGGCCGAGGGGCAGAATGGAACAAAAGAGCAAGTCTAGAGGCTGGACTGGGGAAAAGCAGATCAGTGTTGCTTAGGGTTTCAAGCCTTTCTAGCCTGCTTATGGCCCTCGGACTTGAGGTGTTTCCTCTTCTATGCTTCTTAGGTCCATCAAAAGCAGACAACAGTTTCGAAGCAGCCGAGGACGGCTTTGAATTGCCTGTAGCGCCAGTTCATGGGTGCCTTTGGCAGCCTCTTTTGAAGGCAAGGGGTGTTCACCCTTGCCGCCAGGGCTGTCTTTCATGGTGCCCAGAGCACGCTTCCACACCTCCATCCTGAGGCGACCAGCCCTCTTTCAGGGGCCTGCCTGGTGAGGGCTTGGCAGTGTGGCGCTTGTCCACACGAGGTTCCTTCGCCAAGCGGCAGAGGCATAAAGAGCTGCCATCGCCTGAAGGCATCTTGACACCCCATTTGGCACACTTGCGAAACCCCAGTTTGGGAGCCATGGGAAGGAGAAAGAGAGACAAGGTGTAAGGATATGAGAAAGAAGACAGTAGGGGGGTTTTTTGTGAGGGAGATGATGGGAGAGGAAGGGGGTTGAAAAAAAAAGGTAGTGAATGCAAATGAAAAGACTGGAAAAAGGGGTGATGTGAAGATCACGAAGGCAGTAAGAAGTATGAGAAAGGTGTTTGAGGAAAAGGCTGAGATAATCGTTTAGCTAGAGGTCCCGAGGCACTATAAACAGTGGTCAAAAGCAAGCTGAGAAAATGGCAGGAGCCCCGCTATTTATGTAAGGGGGAGGGGCGGCAGGGTTCCACCAAACATGCTAGGCTCAGTTAGAGGAATTGTTCCCAGTGTGATGCACAGAGGTGTGATGCACAGAGACCACGACAGAGAACAGCAAGGCCGAGGGGAAGAAGGGAGCAAGAGTGCGAGGCTGGGGAGGAGCAGCAGGGAAAGGGGCGGAGAAAGGAAGGCTGGCAGGAGGAGGAAACAGGGAGGCCGAAGGGGAGAACGCTGCCCTCGCCTTCGTCCCAGGGCGGCAATTAGTAATGTTTTGAAGGAGGAGGTGTGACTAGCTTTGTGGGTGCCGCTGGACATGCCCTGGGGAACCGCAGCCCCCATGGGGACCCTGCTGGGGAGCCCTGCTCCTGAACCTGGCTTGCTTGCATGCATGCATCTCAGCTGCATGCAAAAGGTACATCTGCCCATGAAGATGCTGGGCAGCTGCTCCATTTCCTACACAGCGGACGGGGTGGTGGGGGGTTCATGTGGGCAGCAGAAAGCTGAGCCTGGGCGAAAAGAGGCAGGCAACAGGCAAAAGCAGAACTTGTGAAGCGGCGGGGTGGGGCCTGGAAGTCCTTCGCCAGATCCCCAAGGTCAAATATTTACCTTCACGGCAGCTAAAAACCTGTCCAAGAGACTGACAGCCAGGGCAAGTGTTTCTGGGTAAAGGCGGAATTGGCACTTGAGCTTGGCCAGCCACTGGATCACTTCATCTCGCTGGGCTGGAGAGATGCCTGCATCCTGCCGAGGAAAACGTGAAAGAGAAAACAAACACAAAGGCCCGGTGAGAATGCCAGAAAGCTTCGAGCACATCCAAGAGGAAAAACACCACCAGTGCAGCAGTCTTTCCTAATCCATTGCTCTCCAGAAGCGTCGGACTGCAACTCTCACCAGCTCCAGCCAGCTGCTGGGAGCTTTGATCCAACACACGGGGAGGCCACTAGATTGGGGGGGGGGGGGGCTGGTGCACAAACTCTCAAAGTAGCCAAAGCGCTACTTCAAACATCTATTTTTTTATTTGTTGGACAAAAAAGTGGCAAATGCCCTGGGGAAGTGAAAGCAAGGACAACATTATTACAATATAAGTATCAAAATAATGCCAGATTTTTAAAAAATTGAAGCATTAAAGAGACAGCAATAAAATTGATAATCAGAGTGATAGCATACAGATTTAGTCCCCACTGGAAGAACACCACCACCACCACCATCATGACCATCACTACATTTATATTCTGCTTTTCTTCCTCTTGCAAGGAACACAAAGTAGCTTAAACAGTTTCTCTTCCTCTTCATTTTATCATCACAACAACCCTGTGAATTAGGTGAGGCCGAGACTCCATGACTGGCCCAAAGCTGCCCAGTGAGCTCCACAGCTTCCTGCATTTCCCAGCTTCTAGTCCAACTCTGGGTCTTCACATGGCATCTAAGTGTACACAGTGGAGATGCTAGCTGGATTTCCCTGTGCAGGGCATGCCACAGTGAGAAGGGAGGCCTTTACAGAGAGAGCGCCTTCCCTCTTGAGCACCCTCAAATGGTGCTCAGTTTATTTATACAGCACTTTCCAAAAATATTCGATGATGGTTCAACTGAAATAGAAAAACATTTGCTTTTGAATAAGTCCACTTAAGACAGACACATTCAGTCTAACCAAATGCACAGGGCAGCTTGCTTTCTAAAGGAACGGTATTTCTGCAAAACCACGGAGTACTGGATAAGGCCCCATCCGGTCAATCCACTTTTCCATGGATCTCATCTGATGCCTAGGCCATGACCTCTGACTCATATCATTTTCACACAAAAGCTTCCATTATTGCCATTTATCTGGGGTAACTGGAGAACTTCTCTTTCGAGTTGGGCTCCGAAGAGATTTGGCTGCAGAAACTAAAAACAACCATTAGGGTTTGGACTAACTTCAGGTGTCCCACAGAAACGACAATAAGCTGCGGGTAATTTATATGGTTGGGCTTTTCTTTGAAGAAACAGCTTTATTGCAACTAAAGCAATTCCTTGGCACAATTCTTAAGAACTCCTTGTCCTAGTACAAGATGCCCTTTGGAAAGTGTTCCAATAACCTGTCGCCTCCACTAAACCAGGTATCTCTTCATCTTCACCTCTCATTTCCAACAAGTCCCTCCAACCTGATGCATCAACATTTTCTTCTCAGGTCAATTTCCAAAACTTGGTTTTGTGGCTTCGGAAAGAACTGAACCGTGTGTTTGTTCTCCTCTGAATGAATGAATGAATGAATGAATTTATTTATTTATTTAGGAAGCTTCTATGCCATCCCATATTTATTTATTTAGGAAGCTTCTATGCCATCCCATTCACCGAAATAATCACAGTATAAAAACGATATATTTACTGTGCCTGAAAGACAACTGTTCTACGGATGTTCCTAAGGACCACCACCCACCTCTTACGCTTTAGGACGATGCCACATGGAAAGAAAGCCAGGTTCTTCAATGAAGCTGCTCCAGTAAGAGTACTCTAGGTTACTACACTCCTATGGTTGTTGGGCAGCATCCCAGAGACCATAGAATGTTTTGGATCCCCTTCCGAAGACACTTCCATAACCTCAGGAGGGGGAATCTAGCATCAAAAGAACTGAAGCAGATGCTTTCCAAGGCTGGAGCAGCTCATGAAGACAGAAGCTGCTGTCCCAGTGGGTGGGATAAACAGAAGCCAGCATGCCATGGACTTCTGAGCTACACAGACTCAGAGGCCAACTAGCTGGGTGTGTTGTAATTTGGGGGTGGAGGAACAGGAGGCAAAATTGCCTTTATCACTCCTCCTGGATTTTTGGAAGAGAGCGAAACTATGGTCCACAAGAGAGCACACCAGAGGCCGGGGCTATGGTGGAGTTCCCCCTTGGAGGCTGCAGACAGATCAACAACTGTGGAGGGGAACTCCAAATGGGGAATTCCTAATCCCTACCCACCGCAGAAAGCACTATGATGGCTTCCTTAATCAAGGTTGGAACTGTAAAACACCCAATACTGTTAGTAAGTCCTGTGACTACAGGACAAAGGTTTTGCTCCAGAGATGAGCAGGAATGATAGTATATACGTCATCAATGACTTCCTTGTCCATTAAAGCCTTAGAATATCAGGGGTCTAAATTTCTAAGTGGAAGATGCATGTTAGCTGACGTAGGGCCATGTTATCTTGCTTTCCAGCTTTCTACCCGGGGAGGACGACAGAGAGGGAAAGGAGACACACACTGAATGGTTTCCAAGCTGTCTTCAGAGGAAGCTGATCACATTTCTCAAAGTGGGATCTGCAACACAGTCGCAGTGGGCTGTGCTGTTGTCCAGGATCCAAGGCACTTCATTCCACTGGGTGGTTTTCCATTTCCTGTCCTGTTCAATGCTCAAAAAATGGTTTTCCATTTTTGGTCTCCAATAGGGAATCAGCATTCCATGCCCAGGGAACATTCTCGGTCTTCAGTGGGGTTCCCCCTCTTTAGTCTTTATTCTTTAAGTATTTGGAGTCTTTGCCCCCTATTTTGGAGTTCCCCAAAGACTGCTGGTATTTTATGTGATGGTCTGGTCTTAGCTGCTGAACCAGAAGAACTCACAGGAAGAACACTAGAAAAAATTATTGGTGATGGTGGGCCAATTCCCATCCCAACTGGTCCTAAACTGGTCCTACAAGCCGCAGGAAAATAGCGGGAATGTTCCAGGACAGACATGGAGGACTGCAGGCCTGGCTAGAGCCCCAGGGCATGGTGTGATTCCCTAGTTAAACATCCCAGAATCCTGTCCAATGAGCAGCAAACAGGCAAGCAAGCCAGATACAGTAGACACTGAGACAGAAAATATGAAAAGTAACCTCACTGAAAAGCACTATGGACATTATGCTAATAATCAACCAAACCATTTTGGACCAAATTGGCTTGGCATTGAAGTATGCAGAAATACAGAAAGCCTTTTGTCAAGAAAAAATGAAAAAGAAAACAGGAATGTTAACTTTTCCAGTTTTATCCAAAGGCAAGATTGATTACAAATATTCGCCAGTCACTACAGACTGATAAATAGTATATATTTCCTGGCGCTTCACATTACATTAAAATATTGCCTAAAAACAGCACCGGTACCGAGAATATTTGCCTTTATTCAATGAGTTCCACAGCACGGTATATGTTACTTTAGGGTGCAACCGTGCAGCTGGCTGAAACATCCTCAGAGTTGAACCTTTTCTGCCTAACAATCACAGGATTGTGCCCTTCATAACCCAAGATCTCAAAGTCTTTATTGTTTGTACACCAAACAATGACTAATAATAATACCAATGCCTGTTTTGTGTCAAGATAAAATACAAGTTCCTTTTCAGAACAAGAAGTAGGTAGCTAGAGAGGGACCAGATGTCCTGGTTTTGCCTCAACTTAACTAAACATATGATGGTTTTTTGACTTTTACAAAGTTTTAAACAACTGGTTATGTCTTTTGGCTCCTAGAGGGATTCAGCAGCAACTGGCTTGGTTTTGGGCCATCTACAGTTCATTATGTTCCAATGGAAAACCAGTGAGATTTGCCACAGCAATGTTAACCCATAAACCTCTGGCGTGTCCTTAAGCAAAGGCTGGTATTTAATTAAATATACAGACCCTGCCCCCACCTTCCCAACCCAAAGCACAGTCCTCAGAACCACTTAGCCATCTCTCCCAAATGCTCAGCGAGTTTCCCCACTGAAACGGGCAGCTCTGCTTTCCATCCCTGTACTAAACAAAGGCTCAGGCTCTCCACAAAACCCCTGTGATACAGTTCCCCGTGTGTAGAAGAACTAAGGCAGAGCATCAACCCAAACAAAGCAGGAAACCCCAGTTGCAAATCTCATCTCTGCACCAGGTAGCCTCAGTTTTTAGGGAAAATATCAGGAATGTTGGTAGCTGATATATACTGAATCAGAAAATGAATCCATCTAGCCCTAAATTGTCAACACTGACTGGCAGCAGTTCTCCAGAATTTCAGGCAGGCAGCCTGGGGATTCTCAAGATTGAATCTGCGTGGCCAGCTCGACCCTTTCCTTCTTGCCCTTCAGGTCCAGTCCCTTTGCAATGCAGTTCTTTATGGACACTTTGCAGCTACAAGATAAAGCAACCCTAAAAGCCCTCTAGAAAGCTGCAAGATAAGCCTCTGCTCATGTAAAGTGTGTTGAACCCAAACTGGGAACTCCTCCCCAAATTCTTTCCCTTTAGTAACATTGGGAGCTCCACTCTCAGGGCGCCTCCCATCTGGAGAGACCTACACAAGCCCTCCAGCTGGACAGCTCGTCTCTCCCAATGCCTCATCGTGAGGTCAGGGACCAGGCATGGCAACAACTCCCCCTTCTTCCCTTCTTGGACCCCTTCCATCTCTTCCAAAACATCACTGCTCTCCTAGTTGGCCTGGGAACTGCAGGCGGTGAGCCTGAGAGAACCTCAAGGGCCTCTCCCTCTCCCTGAGTTTCCAGTCTTCAAGGTCTCTGGGATTCCCACCAGGAGTGGTGGTCAGCTTCACGCACTACAACATGGGACCTTCCCATCCGAAGCTGTTCCACCACTGACCAGTCTTACAGCCCTGCTCAAAAGACAACCAACGTGTTCTGCACACTCAAGGAGCCAGCCGATAAACGTTGAGTGGGACAGTTCACACGCACAGAGCAACACAGGCGTGTGCAGTCAACGTGTGGAATGGTCTTCCTGCAAAGCATGTGCTTCAGCCTACCAGGCACAGGACACAATCGGAAGGTGTGTGATGTGGC